GGCCGTAGCCGTCTGCATTCCGTGTGCATGTCTTTGCTGTCTGTGCTCACTCACTCAGATAGTATCTACGTGTGGAACTGATGCCGGTGGCAGTGCTACTGCCACTCTCTTTTACCTGAGTGGTAAATCGATTCACAGCACTATTAGCACTGCTGCTGCTGATTTATCAATCAATCGCCAAGTTGGCTGGTAAATCAAAGCTGATAGGCCAAACTGTTCAGGCGAATTAGCCTCTCCGCTATTACAGATAATTTAATTACCTTGCATACTTTTTGCATGTGAGTGTAAGTGTTTGCTCAGTAGAGAATACCACCACCACCATTACCACCGTTACTGACCGCTTATTAAAATCACTTTAATTTTTTATTTATTACATACTGTAAAATCAAATACTAACATTTTTTTTCATTTTCCAGAGGCTAAAGGAGAAGCTGAACACGCTGGCCATTTCGGTGATGAACCAGTGGCCGGGCGTGAAGCTGCGCGTGACGCAATCGTGGCACGAGGGCAACCAGTACGCCGGCGAGTCGCTGCACTACGAGGGCCGAGCCGTGGACATTACCACCAACGACCGAGATCGCTCCAAGCTGGGCATGCTCGCCCGCCTGGCCGTCGAGGCGGGCTTCGATTGGGTCTACTACGAGTCACGTGTCTGGATACACTGCTCAGTCAAGTCAGGTACGTCTAACGATGATGATTAGGATGATTTAACTGTTTTTTGCGCTCAAAAAGTTGTGAATTGGTAGTTAGGCTCTCATGATCACCACCAGCACATGTTGTCACTGTTGCTGTTGCTGCTGTTGCTTGTTGTGACTGCCCCTGCTGGTGACGCGATAATTGGACACAAATTGCCTGTCGTTTTCCGTGCTCCGGTTGAAAAAACTGCCTGGTGCTCTATGCACCGGGCACACACTAATCAATTTGCCACATGATGAGAAGGGATCTGAAGGTACTGATCGAGAAACGCTGCTGCTGCTACTGCTTGGCGGTTCCTCTTTCTGTTCCTTCAATTGGCCTCGTAAAATTGCCGGGCTGTAAAAAAAGTCACTAATTCGTTTGTCCCCTGTTTTGTGTTCCCGAATGAGCGCAAGCGAGCGAACAAGCGATCGAGAATGACGTGAAAGTGGGGGCCAGCACAATTCAGTGCAGCGTCCTGGTGTGCCTGTTGTGATTTACACGGGAAACAAAAGTGACAAACTAGAGCCGCAGGCCTGCTTCCAATACGCATTGCGTTCTCTTGACTTACCTGTGTGTGTGTGCTCAAGAATTTCCCAACGAATGGTCTCGACCAGTGGTGAGTGAGTGCACTGAGTTCCACCAATGTGGTCTGTGTCAATGTTTACCTTTTTATTTTCGGCACTAGACGATTAGTGGCTCGACAAGAGGGCCACTTGCTTGCCTGCTTGCTGGTCGACCGCTTTTTAATAGGCAAAATGGGCAAGCAAGCAAGCAGCTAGGCACTTGCACAATAGCAGGTAGACCTAGTATGCTAATCGAGCACAGTGGGACCCGAGTAGGGCAATTGTGAGGCAATTGTGATCAACACATATACACACACAGTGCGATCACTTTCTTCTACTCTCATTGGCTTTGTAATCATTTGTTTATTGTCGCAGTCACTCACTCGATTCATTCAAGTTTGTGTGTGTGTGTGTGTGTGTGTGTGTGTGTGTGTGAGAGAAGGGACATAGAGTTGGCCCGTGCGCGAACAGTAGCCCAGCAGCTTTCAAACAGTGATCATAATAAAAACTGTAATAGAAAATGCTGATGAGACAAAAAGTTGTGCTTTCTGTTTCAGAAAGACAATAACATAGAGTAGGCTGCCAGTGCCGCCAAAGAGGGAAAGAGGTATTTGTGGCAAAGAATATATTCATTACATAATGCGGAGGGGAGAAAATAGAAGGAATTATGACCTGCTCATTATTATTATTACCTGTTCTCATAAGTCTCAACGGAAAGTTCGGCATTTCAGTCACTTCAGTCGGCAGTGATCGGATTTAGTAGCTTGCTCTCACTGTGATCGAGGTTCACTAAAGTTTGTGTGTGTGTGTGTGTTTAGCTTATTTTTTGTTTTTGCAAAAGAATTTGTTGCTGCTCAAGCTTGAGCAACAGTTCGCAGTTTCATGCTGGTTCATCTGCGCCGCTAAGAGAGTTATTTATTTGTTTCCAGATTAGATTAGGGAAAGAGAGTGAGAGAGATAGAGAGTCGAAAGTGGACGATTCTACAAATCTGCTAAAGCTTGCTGATTTGCGTTTGAAGCAGTCGAGCATCTAATCAGCAGATACTTTGTGAGCGAATTTCTGCAAACTGTTTCTGAATAATCAAAACTGTTGGTGGTGACGATTTTGATGAATTGGCGGTGATTAGAAGAGCTCGGCTCACTCAGTTCTCAGAGCAATCACATAGCACGCCACTGACCACCACAACCACAAATGAGCAATTTTGCGGTGGTGATGTTCAGGCCATGAGAGCATGATTCAAGTTTGATCGATTAGGCAGGCAAAATGATATGCTCCGATGTCACCAGTGTCACCAGCACTTTAAATGGCAATCTAATTAATACCGCAGAGGGAAAGATGGTGATGAGGAGGAAAGCGACTGTGGTAGCGACGACGACCACACTTGCCGATCGATGCTGTCGCTTTCTCACTGCGATCTTATCATTGTACTTCAAAGCCCAGCCACCACTTCTTATAGTGGTGAGGGTAAATGGTGGCGCCTGTCGCCAAATGACCGCCATTGCCGCCGCTCTATCACCGCCGTCGTTTTGATCTAGTTGTCTGTAAGTGTGTGTGTGCAAGCGATCGGTCATCTATCGCTTCAGTTCTTTAGCTGTATAAAGTTTTCCCTCATCCAATTTTTCTCTCTCTCTCTCTCCTGCCTCCAATTTGGCATCATCATTCACGGGTCATTGANGAGTTTTCCCTCAACCAATTTTTCTCTCTCTCTCCTGCCTCCAATTTGGCATCATCATTCACGGGCCATTGAACACTAATTGCCATGTTGCACCTTCTCTCATCAATTTTTTTACTAACCGCCTTCTTTCTTTTTCTTTACTCTAAACAGAAAAATCCGAATCAGCCCGTAACGGCGGTTGCTTCGACGAAACCAGCGTCGTCTACTCTCGCAGCGGCGGGCCAAAACCGATCAAGGACGTCTCGGTGGGTGAGGAGTTGCTGACGATGGCAGCTGACGGCCTCTCCTACGCCTACAGTCCAGTGCTGATGTTTCTAGACCGTGACCCGAGTGTGGAGCGGCTCTACTACCACATCGAAACCAGCTCAGGAGCTAAAATCACCGCCACTGCCTCGCATTTGCTCTTTGTCGCCGAGGGACTGAATGAAGATGAAGAGAAGGATTCGATCTTGGTTTCAGCCACCACCACCACAACTACCACTACTCAGCCTCAGTTTGCCAAGGACATCGCCCTGGGCCAGTACCTGTACACTCTGAGAAGGGAAGGTGATCAACTGGTCGACAGGTCAACTCAGTCAGCCACCCTGGAGAAGGTGGTGAAGATCAGCACCAGCCTGAGCCGGGGCGCCTACGCCCCCCTGACGATGACCGGAAACCTGGTGGTGAACAACATCACCGCCTCGTGCTATGCAGTCATCAACAGCCAACGACTGGCCCACCTCTCATTTGCGCCCGTCCGCTGGGCGCACTCCTTCACTGAGCTTGGCGACCGTCTGTCGCGATTTCTACTTCACACCTCCTCTTCATCATCATCTTTTACTCGAAGAGCAGCTAACAGCAACTCTGCATCAGCATCAGTTGCAGAATCAGCAAATTCCATTGCATCACCGATGCAAGAAAACAGCAGCAAAGGTGGCACTGGCGTTCACTGGTACGCCCGACTGCTCTACGGCCTTTTCCGTCATCTCATTCCCTCCAAGTGGATGTTCAACTGAACAATGTTCTGTAACTATATAAATCAAAACACACACACACAACTGTACATTTCTTTTTTCAACTCAATGAACAAATACAAACTCATTCTCGAACACTTCACACGAGTCACATTTGTCATAGTTTTGAAACATGTAAATAGCGTGCTTAGTTCACCTTGTACATAGCCCCCACTCCACAAGTTCACCACTTCCCTTNACTGCTCTACGGCCTTTTCCGTCATCTCATTCCCTCCAAGTGGATGTTCAACTGAACAATGTTCTGTAACTATAGAAATCAAAACACACACACACAACTGTACATTTCTTTTTTCAACTCAATGAACAAATACAAACTCATTCTCGAACACTTCACACGAGTCACATTTGTCATAGTTTTGAAACATGTAAATAGCGTGCTTAGTTCACCTTGTACATAGCCCCCACTCCACAAGTTCACCACTTCCCTTAAATATTCGGTCAGTTCGAGCCGAAGAAAAATTATTAATTTATATCAAAAGTCTCTCCATTGGTCTCAACCCCCCCTCCCAATTGATTTTGTTTGTTTGTTCAACACCCATTGTCACTGTAATAATAATAAAGTTTAGTGCTTTTTTGTCGAACGTCAGTTTGAAGGCAGTTTTTGAGCAAACTGCACTGTTCATGTTTTTTTCACTTCAAGATAAACACACATTCAGGCAAATAAAAAACACAAAAATCGATGAACATTGTTTTGCGGTAGTGTTCAACCTTCATATTTATAGTTCTCCGCCATTAGTGTCTATTAAAAAGCAATAAGCATTTGTTTAAACTGCTATAAACTGAGATGCCTGATAATGCCCGAGCGTTTCCGTCTCTTCATCGATGTCTACTGCAGTTGAAAAAATTGCCAGTGAAAGAAGGCACACTCTAAGAGAAAATTCAACGTGCAATCTGACAAATCATTTAAAAAGTCATCGAGATAGCAATAAAGAAATAAAAAATCTGTCGCCAACGATGAAACAGAGAGAATAACCTGCTGATGAAAAATAATAGCCAACTTAACTTGGGGCACACTTCACACAAGCTCAAGCCCTTGAGTTCAGAAAACAAAAACGACAAAAGAACTTAACATTATATTACAGAACAAAAAAGGACTACCGACAGAAAGTGAGAATCGATTATTTACAAATGAGAAAAAGGGAGGGAGGAGAAAGAATAGAGAAAGAAAGGGAGTGTGAGTTTGGCATTCGGACGACATAAAATAGTCAGAGTTGAAGGGGTGGAAAGAAAAGGAGTCTGCACTGCTAGATCTGGTAGCTGCGAGGATTGTGTAGAACAGAAGGAGGGAGAAGAACTGGAAGAGAAGTGTCAGGCTGACAGAGGGTGTGGAAGCCAAAAGGTGACCATCACTTGATTGTCCACTGCCTGACTGGCTGGATTCAGTTTTGCTAGATCAAATACAGTGTAGATGATTTGTACAGTTGAGGAAGGAAGTGGTAACAAGGGAAGAGGAGGAGAAAGTAAAGGGTATCACCAGACGGAAGAAAAGAATACTGCTGCTGTTGCTGAGAAGAAGGATGAGAAAAATAATAAGGAGATGATGCATGCGGTGAGAAGAAGTAAAAGAGGGAAAGAGAGGAGTTGTCGATATGATGAGGATGATGATGGTGCTGTAGCACTCCTCCTGCAAAAGNAAGAATACTGCTGCTGTTGCTGAGAAGAAGGATGAGAAAAATAATAAGGAGATGATGCATGCGGTGAGAAGAAGTAAAAGAGGGAAAGAGAGGAGTTGTCGATATGATGAGGATGATGATGGTGCTGTAGCACTCCTCCTGCAAAAGTGCCTGATGCTGATGAGCTGTTCTGCACTGGAGAAGTGCTTCCATGAGAGGTGCCGCTGCCAACTGCCGCGACAGTCCCAGGACCGATGATGAGGGAAAAGGGCTGATAAGGAGAAGGTGAAGAAGGAGGAGGTGCTGAAGAGCAGTGAGGTGAGGATGCTCAGACTGAGAAGTGTGGAAACGCCTGCTTGTGTGTTAATCCCGCCAGGCGTCCCATTGCAGCTTTCCGTCTCACAGAAGCACATGTGGCCGGCATTGCCTGCCTCTTCCATGCACACGTGATCCACCATAAACAGGTTGATCTTCAGATTAGTTGTGCATGTTCGCCA